ACAGCGAAAGGCCATGAAATTGGGGATTATATCAATGTCAATGTCCTGGTTGTGATATTGTGCTACGGTTTTGCAAAATATTATTAGGGGAAAGAGGGTAAGGTACGTGGGATGTCTGTATTATTTCTCACAACTGCATGTAAATCCATAATTATTTCAATAAAATTTCAATTAAAAATAAATTTAAGTAGAAGTTCTAAATAATATGTTCTCACTAATATGGAAAGATATTATTGACTGAGAAAACAAGATAGACCTTTTGTCTTAAAAAAGCTATATAGTCACAGTTGCCTAAATATACATAAAAACTGAGACACGACATACATAAAAAACTAAGAACAGCAGGAATATGTGAAGGCAGGAGGTTGAAAAACAGGGCAGATGGAAGATAAGGACGGGGAAACGTTCACCTAATACGTTTTTTTTCCCTTCCATTTTGAACCACTTATAATTAGTATTTAAACTTTTTGCTTATACTANGTGTTCTCCAATGGTTGGTCAGTCACCCTAACTTACCTAAGTTTACAGCCCCAAATAAAATCCCACAATGGAAATAGAGCAAGCAGGTCCGGACAGCCGGGACGGGTAGGAGGGAAGCAAAAGTGATAGGTGAGTCGATGAGAGGCGATTAAGTGTCGCCAACACACAGACGGGGCGAGGGCAAGGGGGCCGCTCCCAAGGCACCGGGCCACACTCCAGGCACGGCGGACCCCCGGAGCCCCTCACGCTGAGGCTGACTCCCGGCCCAGCCGTGCCCTGCTCTCTCTGCCTGAATCAGGTGCTGCAGAAGCCGTGACCACCACTGCACTGACGACCGTTTCCAAGGAGCCCAAGCCCGCACCCGCTGGGGTTCTAGAAGCCACAGGTCATTGTCACTGCCGTGTGCTAGGTCCCAGCTCTTGGGGCCGGGGGATGGGCGGTGCGTGGCCCCGAGAGCGTGTCCCTTCGCCCTGGCACCTGCCGCCCTGGCACCTGCCGCCCCGGCACCTGCCGCCCCGTGGCGCACCCGTCCCCCAGGGTGACATTCAGCCGGCCCCAAAACTATTTATAAAATACAATCTCTTTTAGGTAAACAAATCCAAGTAAAAACAGANTAATGAACAAAAACAATTCAATCAGAAAATAAGCAGAAAACATGAAGAGACATTTCACAAACAAAGATATACAGATGATAAATTAAGCAGATGAAAAGATGTTTAACATCATTAAGGGAATGCAAATTAAAACCACAGTAAAAGATCACTACACACCTAAAAACTAGTGACAGTGCTAAACGCTGGTACGGATGCAGAGAAACTTGCTAAACGCTGGTAAGGATGCAGAGAAACCGGATCACTCATCATACACTGCTGGGGAAAATGTAAAACAGTATGGCCATTCTGGAAAACCATTTTCACTCGGGAGAGTGCGGTGCGGATAACACCAAGGCCACGGGTTCGGATCCTATATAGGGATGGCCGGT